CAAATGAGAGGTGTGTCTCAATCCTAAACATTAGGCCTTCTTTTATAGGGGAAAAATCCCCTCGAAACTTAACTCCCAACCAATGTGGGACTTTAGCATTTTGCCAAACTTCAACAGGTTTAATAAGGATGTCTAGAAGTCGTAAAAGCTTGGAGGAAGTGGCAGAAGATTATTTGGAGGATCTTATCAAAAGGAACTTGATAATGGCTAGAAAAAGGAGATTCAATGGTGAGATAAAAACATGTGTAATACGCGATCTACTACGTGAATTCTGTTTGATAGAAGCTAAAACGACAAAGTTTATGCATGTTGAAAGAACTTGCCATACTCCTCCAACACAAAAGCATAATGTTCGACGCTTCAATTTTCAAACCCAATATTATTCAGTTGATAAGTGTTGTAGGCTATTACTGTTTCCACATTTGTCTACTTATTTTCACGATTGGCTCGAAATTATGAAACCCCTATTAAGATTCTCTGGATATTGCCTATCTAACATCGTCATCGTCATGTAATACATGATTTTTTCTCCCGTTTCAACCTTCTTGGGGTATTGGCCATATTCCATAAGATGTAGGCTTCTACTCACCTAATTTTCTGCTGGTGATCACAAAGTTATTTCATTTGAGATATCTCCAAGTTCGATATTATGGCAATATTCCTGCATCAATCTCAGAGCTTCAAAATTTGCAAACTCTAATTACTCATAGGGGCATATATTGTAAAACAACTTTACCGGGGAATGTATGGATGATGAAGAACTTGAGGCATATACATCTCGGAGGCCCCATTTATTTACCATCCTAGAAGAGAAAGCATTATAAACAAGCAACTTATGATAGGGATGCCAAATCTAGAGGAACTTTCTGAACTCTTTTTCTTCCTGTTGTACAAATGAAGTCTTTTCTGCGACTCCCAATCTAAAGAATTGATTATTCGCGTAAAAACTTCAGCCAATCGCCTCATTGATATGTCTAGCTTGACAAAACTCGAAGAATTAAAGTGTGCCAATGGACTTGTTTGCTACTCCATCAAGAGTTTCGTTTTCCCAACATCGCTTAAGAGGTTGACTTTAACTCACTGCTTTTGGTTTCATTGGGACGATATATCAATTCTTGTCATGTTGCCAAATCTGGAAGAGCTCAAACTTAAAGTTGCTGTAGTCACTGGTGATCAAGTATGGAGATTGAGCGATGAAGACAAGTTCCAAAGCTTGAAGTTGTTATTTAAAGGCATACATCTTGAGCGTTGGGAAGCTAGCAGTGATAGCTTCCCAAATCTAAGACGCCTTGTTCTGAAGAATTGCAACTACCTGAAAGAAATTCCAACAAATTTTGGGGAATTTTGTACGTTGGAGTCAATTGAGTTACACAATTGCAGCAGTCTAGCTGAGGATTCTGCAAGAAATATTGAACAAGAACAAGAAGACATGGGAAATAATTCCCTCAAGGTCTACATCCATAACAGTCGCAGTAAGATTGACATCTCTCTAAAAAAATTCTTCGATTCTTCACATTAATTATTACTTCTTTGTTGATACCTCCTTGAAATTAAGATGATGACTTCTACTTTTTATCTTGCATATATGCAGGGAAATAAAGCTTATTTTGAGGGACCATTTCCAAATGCGGAACCTTGTATTAGTTTATATGTATTTTGAAACTTTTATGTCCTTATCTGTTGTTAAATTTATGTTTTAGGAATAATCCATATTTAATGCAAGTCTCACCCATTTGTGAATTAGTATTTTGTAAACGACTACTGATGATGTACTGTAATATCTATTTTGTTTTATCTGATAGTTCCAAATGAATAAGGTTTCTATATGCATTGTATGTTTCACACTTTCTTCTATGACAGTAGTGTCGTTGCGCGCACTTCTATTATTCCACTGGGTACATCACACTTGACTATGCTTTCCTGTGTTTAAGTATAGTATGTGTGCCGTTATAATTCAGGATTACACTATCACTGTATATTTTAATATATTGTGATAGGTAACCTACCATATTATTCAGGTTAATTATTTATCTTACCTAACTATTATGAATGATTAAATATAGTTATCTTTTAGGTAATATAATAAAGTAAAATTTCTTTACACATTCAGTGCATAAAAATTTAACCGTTGAGACCATTAAACACAACGTATTCGATGTGTTTGGTTCTTTGCCTAATCTCTTGAGAAAGTCAAGAGTTGAGTCGCATTTATGCGTATAAATATTTTTAGGTTACCAGATATAAAATAGCTACTACAAGCAATCAACTTGCTAAGCACAATGTTATCCCAACTGCTTAGCAGGTGGAAGGTAGTTCAACTATGTTTTAGGTCATCGGTTCAAATCCTCGGTGTGACATATCTTCGTATTTTTTCTTGAATCCTCTAGTATATATTCTTGGATCCGCCACTAGGTCCAGGAGTTCAAGACTAAAGGGAGATGTTTATACCATGTGCCAATAAGCATATATATTTCTTCCTACATAACGAACTTCTAATATCAAGAAAGCGAGGTATCAGATTCCTGTAATTCAAGCCTCTTTTTCATCAATTCCTGNCCTCCCTCCAAAAAAATGCGTCTCTTCCCTGAGAGGACTCAAACCACAATTTATACTTAACTAACTAAAACCACCTCCCCCATTATTGTTAATGCATTATGTACTTGCGCTAAAAATCAACGGACGGGTACAAAGACGAGACTTTTGATCCAACACTTTTTGACTTAAAAGAAATGAAAATCCAAAACCGGGGATCCAACAATTTAAAAGAAAGTTGTTGAATGATCAATGATTCTAGAAGCTGTAATGTCAGATTCTACAGATGCATATGGTGATGCAACATTTCCACGACTAATGGTACTTCCTAATGACTGTCCTGTAGTCAATTTCTCACTATATAAAAATACCGGACACATACACAAAGTATCAAGCAATACTATAGCTGGTAGCTTATGAGTGTAGTACTGCTACTGACCAAGCTGTTTCAGGCTTTCAGACAATGATCAATTGTGTTAGAATGTTTATACTGACCATACCGTTTCACATACTGATAATATGTCAAGGAATAGTCAGAAAAGAGATATTTTTGTACATGTTAGGAAGTGATAAAGTAACATAAATTTTTGGTGCGAACAATTTTTTCGAGTTCAGATCAACTATCAGCTTCCAGAATTTTTTAAAGATAGTCCTTGATCAAAACCATGGATTGCATTACTCTTTCATTTTAACAGAGAAAAATATTTTGAGCAAATCTCACCCTGTTTTGTAATTTTGGGTGGAACAGAACAAATTGCTGTAGTCTCAACTCAATGATGGAGGTTCAGTTCAAGTTTTAAAAAAAAAATACAGAGTATAATATTTGTTTCCTGCTTCTATAGAGTATAGAGAAATGTCCACCAAATTACCAACAAGGGGTGTGGTGGAGTAGTAACCATTCCTTCATCCTATACCAAAGTTCTCGAACTCAAATCACTTTTGTTAAGGAGCGCTTTACCCCCTAATATGAGCCGTTCCCGCAATCTTGATTCAGTCAAGCCCCAAACCAAAAATAAGAAAAAATGTCCACCGAGTTTCACACTAAACAATACTTTCAGCTTCTCTATTGAACTTCTCTTCCTCCATAGCTTTTGTCAATTGCTTTCTACGCTACTACATCAGTATATATATATCAACTACAACATGCCTCATTCACACATGCGGATTCCCTACCCCACTAAAATATACATCTTATAACTTTTGAAAAATGAAAACATATATGTATTGAAACTAGATTAGACCAATATTGATCTTACCTGCTATGGTTTGTGATCAACCTTCTTGGAACTTTTTCAGTGCCTTGTAGTCAAGCCTCATAAAGCATACCAACCTCGATACGTTGAGGTAATGGCACACCCAAAGCAGGAAGTGCAGATCTGCAATTGCTGTGCAAAACTTCATAGAAAACAAGCATTGTTCTATCAAACCAGCCACAATGCTTACCAATATAAAACCTCGTCTTTCCACGAATATGGACCACCCCAGCAAGCTTTGCCTCTTCCAACTCGGAAATTTCGTCTTCTTCCTCCGTCGAATTATGGTTGGAGCGCTGAAGCAGATGAGCCCGTAAACTTTCAACAACTTGATTAACTAAATCATCCCCTTCAAGACTAAGCTTATCCGCATAACCATACCGAATCACACATCTATAAACCCCTTTGAGACCTAACTTGCTCACAACTATCCTTTCACCTGCTGCTACTTTGGGAACCAGCAAGTACCTAAGAGTTGTAAATACAGTAACTTTGTGAAGAGATCTCATGTTCTTTATGTAATGACCTAAAATTGGTGTTAAACCATCTTGGATATTTGTATAGAAGAAGCAGAGTCCGGGAACTCTCTGAAGACCTGGATCCATTAGCATTGTCCTTAATCTCTCCGAGTCTATTTTGTGTGTTAATTCATACTCGAGTTTTCTCTGCCTACCATAGAACCAGCCAAACATAATGAAAGCAAGGATGAGAGAGATGGCAAAAGGAATCCAACCACCTTCTGGAATTTTTGTGAAGATTGCACTAACATATACACTTTCCATCACAAAAAACACAATGAAGTAGAGCGCCACCAAAGCAAGTGGAGTTCTCCAAATAATGATCATAACCAATGACAGCAATATAGTGGTTATAAGCATAACCATGCTAACAACGACACCTGTTAGAGAATCAATTTTAAGTAGTTAAAGCAATATTTACTACACTGACGATAGAAAAGAGTTTAACAGTTGCAAGGACAATAAATCATGTGATCTCCTTTAGCACAATGACTCCATATTGCAGTTTATTTGTCAGTCAGAAGAAAATGCATTCCCACTAATCACTGCTGTTACATGCACACATTGGCCAACATAGAAGCATGTTACGGGTATGCATATCACATGTAGATGATATCAGGGGAAAAGCCCGGTTTGCTAATGTCTTCGGCAGCACACTCGTCATGACTACTATCAAAAAAGCTCCTAATGAAAATGAATATTTCACATGGAGGGGTGTGTATCTGTATGCTGGATGTGAAGTAACACCAATCAGACAAAAGATCTCCACTCAAACTGAAGAAAAAATGCAATTTTTTCCTTAATAAACATAAAATACATATACGTAATTTTATTTGAACAGTGCTAAACAAGATAAGAAAATTAAGTTGAACTTGATTCGCACTACATATATGAACTTTATCATTACTATTCATTCATGAAATGTCTATTTGGACAATGCTAAACAAGAAATTTTCTGAAAATAATGAACCAAATAGTATGAGAAAATTCAGGTTCACAGTTTGTTTAGCCTCAGTTCATCACACCAGTCCCTCCTTAAAATAAACAAGTCAACACCAAGTAGCAGTGAATTAGGTGAAGAAACTGCCAGTAGTCAACGTCAGGCCACAGTAACAACCAACCTCCCACGAAGAAGAGTCCATAAAGGAATCAATTCAGGTAAGATAATCACCAAGAATGAAATATTAAAAGTAGGATTTAGAGAATCTTACCAAAGGCATTTCCGATGTCTTGTCCATCTCCAAAAATTAGTATGACTGCAACACAGAGAATCATGAGGATGTAGTTAACTTCTGGTGAGTAAACCTCACCTTCTTTGCTGGAGGATGTGTGAACTACCTTCACCCGAGGAAAATAATCCAACACAACTGATTGCTTAATAACAGAAAAGGTGGCTGAAATCAGTGACTGACTTGCAACTATTGCAGCTAATGTAGCTATAACAAAAATTGGCCAGTACACAGCAGATGGTATAAACTTGTAAAATCCATCAAAATGGTCATTGGGATTTCTGATCAGATATGCTGTCTGGCCCGCATATGTCAGCACTAGTGATGGATATATAGTAAAGAGAAACGCTATCTGCCAGAAAATGAGGTTCCGTAAATCATAAAAAGCAATCAAGCAAGAAGAAGAGACTAAGAGAAATTCCAAGATGTAGCAACAATTTTACCCGAATTGAACTCCTGTTGAAATGACCAAGGTCAGCAAACATTGCTTCAGAGCCTGAAAAATATGAAATATTGTACTGTTAAACAGAGGATATTTACTAATATACTTGCTTACATTCAAACACCTCTATAACCTTCCCAAGAAGATGGAAACAAGAAGACCAGCATCTATGACTTTTTTCCAAAGATAAACCTAGAAACGAACGGTGAATAATGTGACAAGGCAAGACATGTAGTTTAAAAATTACAGATATTTGAAGACCCAAATGGTGACCTCTGGGTCAAAATGGAGCTACCGCATGATAGGATCAAGCCTCATCTCTACTTATGTCATACGTCACACTTAGCAGTGTTAGCACATAATCCAGTTATCATTAAAGCAAAAAAAAAAAAAAAAAAAAAAAAAAAAAAAAAAAAAAAAAAAAAAAAAAAAAAACCAATTTTCACAGTTACTCCTATCATAAGAAACTAATACTTCAAGGCCCATACTAGATGAAGCATGTAAATCCAAACAACCAGACCAAACATGAGGAAATGGATTTATATGCAGACCACATCAATTATGAGGCTTACCAGTAATGCAGAGGACAGTACCACCAAGATATATCCATCCTTGCTTTCCATTTCTTAAGAAGAAGTGGACTATGTAATGGGGTGATATTGCCTTGAATATGCTAGGATAATGCTTAAGGATACTGTATATCCCAACGAGAGGAGTGGTAAGAGTCCATGCACCCATGATAGGAGAGAACAGGAAACTCACTCGTGAAGTACCAAACTTCTGCATGAGGAATAGAACAATGAGAACGATTGCTGAAAGAGCTTCAACCAACGCTGCAAGTAGCAAACAGAGAAATTGTGAATATCAAGAGAGAGAGAGAGAGAGAGAGAGAGAGAGAGAGAGAGAGAGAGAGAGAGAGAGATGTTTAGATTAATAGGGCCACCAGACATGGTTCGCGTTCGATCTAGTGTTTAAAAAGACTTCCAACTTTCAGCAACTGGTCTGCATCTCCTTTTTGTTAATCTGACTTATTGACCTTAAAGTGTTCTATCATCACTTAATTACTTCAAATAACTACTAGAATGAGGATTCAGGTTATTTCAAATAGTTACCAGAATCAGGATTCAAGTAACATCAATATGTAAATATGTGAAAGGTCGTCTTTAATAACAATCACAATACCTTAAAAATCCAAGAAACTACAAGTATCAAAATTTGTTCCTCTACCACTTCCCAATTATTCTCAAAATCTTAAATGCCTCTTCGTACAATGAATAATTTGTAGCATACTACATTCTGCATACTTACATTTACCGACTGAGGGAAAACGTGCTCTTAAGCCATCCATTGCAGACAACACTAACAGAAAGAAGGGACAATTAATGAAACTGAAACTGAAAGAGGAAAACTGATGAGAACTCAAAAAGATGCTGAAAGCAAACTAGACGGCACAACACAATCTAATATACCTGAGATGGCAGGTGTAAGTATGCCATCACCGATTAGCATACACATACCCAACATTGCAATGAAAAGCAGTACCCTTCTGGCAATCAAACTCCTCTCACAAAATTTACCCAGCTTACTTGGCTTTTTTGATTGGTTAACATAGGAATGGCTAGAACTCAAACTGGCACTCTTTGAAGAAAGAATCCCAATATTTATATTCCTGCAGAGTAACGAATAAAGAGCAAATGTTCCACCTGCAAAAGACCATGTTCAAGAACTGAAATTTCTAGAATAAATGAAGAAACACTGTAGTGACTTTCAAAAGGAATTTCAACCGAAAAATAAAGAGGACTAAGAAGGGACTCAATGCTATTAACTGTTCAATATATAAGATAAAGAGTCCAACTATTTTTCTTTTTTCATGACAGAAAAATCTGTTTGGAGCTGACCCTTTGGGCTAATCGCAGCCTTCGAACCTCAGGGATGATGGGTCAGCCCCTCTACCCAAGCAGAGTTAGTTGGTTGGCATAGGTCTCGAACCTGTGACCTAAGACACAAGTCCCTCAACCTTTGCCAATTGAGCAAACCCTGCGGGATAAAGTCCTATTATTCAGCCAAACAAGATCTCTTATATCTAAAATGTGTAGGATAACAAAGATCGGAAACATTCTGAAAAAGAGAACCAAAAACAGAATGAAAAGGAAAAGAATACGAATGATCTCATTTACATTTACCTTAAAATTCAAATAGCACTAGTGCAATAAATTTTTTAATATACATCCTTCACTAACACCTCCAACATTCTCAAAAGATTAGTAATTTTTGGTATGAATTCATAGGAACAGTTTCTTAATCCTCGAAGTACCTCAATCGTAAGTAGCAAAAGTACAAAGAGAGATAGAGATTGGCAATACCTTCGCCCTGATCATCAGCTCTGAGAGCTATGGTAGCGTATTTGACAACACCAATTAGACTGAGCGTCCAAAACATTATGCTGTAGATCCCCAAATAATCATCCTCAGTTGGAGACTTTAAAGGCATTGATGGATATACATAAAGTGGAGATGTGACAAGACCCCCAAAAACAACTCCTAGGGTCTTGTATGCAAGGACCAGGTTCCCCCATCGCCCAGTGTCCTAAACCAATACAGTTTCCGCGAAAGAAAATGAGCCAAAAACAACTGTAAAATAGATGCTAGAAGAGACAACTTAACTTTGAATGTAAAATTGTGGTAGAGTAATGACAAATTCCCAAAACTAGTAAACTAGAAATCAAAGGAGTTCAAGGTAATTGGATTTTTCAAGACTCTGCTTGAATTGATCGATTATTTGATTTCAAATATGAGATTTGAAAAGCCACCTTTTCTTATTCATGTAAAAGGGTAGCAAATGTTATGAATAATATCCAGGTGGAGAGAACTCGAGGCATATTGAAAATTATTATAAAATTCCTTGGACATTAAGATTCATGCAAATTAGTGTATACATGGATTTGAAATCAATGCATCCAAAAGGAGTGAAGTCAAATTTGCGAGAGATATCAGATAAGTGATAATAGGCATCAGTTAAGGAGATACAACCCGCAGCAACTCTCACCAATAAAATAAGTGTCTCCACTCTATAACATAATATTACCATTGGGTGAAGCTCGGTAGGTTAGCTCCATCATCAGAGATATACCTCTTTTTAAATGTATGTTACGTTTAAAGATAATATTTCTGTAAATTTTTCAATACCATCACATTTTATTCAAACTTTCCATCATTTGAAGATAATAGCTTTATAAAGTTGCATAGAATCTCAGTATGAAATGTTCATAGTTATACACCCTTCCAAGCAGCCTAATTCAGGGTGCTGCAGTTCAACCTCAATTAATGAAAGCAGAATGAGAAATTTCCCCTACGACCAATAAACATCGTGAAAGATTGTTCAAAGACATCTTTCATAGCACGACCTTAGCAAGAATAAGCTTATACCCTGGTCCCTGGGGAGATCCCCGCTTTATAGCTATAAATGATGTCACAATTGACTATTATATTTCAAAATTCTAATCATGTAGCCAATTCAAAAAAACAACGTTTTTCCATTTCTCAATTGACTGGGGGTGTCAAAATGCTTGCTTTTGCAAGCCAACTGAAATATGGAATTTCCTGCTATATTCTGTCACTAAAAAAGAAGCTTTACACTCACCTCAGCCAAAAGGCCAAGAAAGGTAAATCAAAAAATATGGAAGGTATTTACATGTGCTTGGTTATATGAATCTTATTAATTAATCTTTTCTAATGGTGCTTCTGGCCAGTTTGCTTGCACCTCGACTATTTCACCTATACTTGTGTCCTCCCATTTGTACTACAGCTATCAAGTAACTCTACTCACCTAGACTTAGGCAGATTGAAAGAAAACCACTCAATGTTTTTGCCCCTACTGGGGTTCGAATCTTGGTATCTTCTTCATTTCGGCTTCGTCAACCACTAGACCATTCCATTGAGTACCTTATTCACTAATTTGTTTAAGTTATATGCACTGAATATTTTACAGTCTCAGTGAATTTTAACTAGTGATAATAAGTTGTTTGCCATTTTTACTAGGTAAACCTTATAAGTGACCTGATTGTATAAATATTAGCGCATAAAACTTAAAACATATAAGGCAAATTATGAGTTCTCTAGACCACATGCTATCCTTACACTTATCCCAACAGTGACATAGAAGTCTCTAACCAGATTAAAAGGACTACACCAATTCATGGCAAACACCAGACCTAATAAAAGTGTTCATATAATCAGTTTTTCCTTCAAGTCAGCTAAGAATTTGAATGCACACAAAAAAAATTGTAGTAGAATCAAAGAATCCAATACAAAAAAAAAAGACACAAGATTTTACGTAACAAAAACAAACAAAAAGGGACTGCAACAAAACAAAGCACATTGTCCCATAAATAAAAATAAAATAATAGAATATAGAGAGCGCGTGGAATGTGGTGAACCACTGAACCTTTTGGTCATGACAATTGTTAATGGTGTCACCGTCATGCACCGATACCACAACCGTTGCATCCGACTGAGTCGCCGCCGAGTCATGCCTTCCTGTTTGCCGATCCATGGCCCCTTTTAAGTTAGCAGAAAAAAAGCAGCGGAGTGGGGTGAGGGGGAGTGTGGGATTTATAAACGGAAGATTTCGTGCAAATAGTAATAGTCTATAGGAACTTCCTAAAGTCTTTCTAGGAAAAGAGAGAGGCTTTTCCTTTTTACGTTAGACAATTGATAAGATATATTTCCTCGTATTCGTAACAAGGCCTCATATATTTTTTTTTTTTAAGATTATGACGTGTGAATTTGAATACACGTTCGAATATCAAGATATGTATTAAGATTAAGGTGTGTATTAAGATTAAGATGTGTATTAAGATCTGAATAGAAATAATTAACACTGTTTGATTTTTAATATCTGAATGTATAAAATTTATCTTTATTTAAAAATTAATAAACATAAAATTCAAATAAAATAACTAATCTAATATTCGATCAATAAAATATATAGTTTTTTAAAATATGATAGTTGTTGGAGGTGATGGCTAATGGGTGGATGCCGACTAGAGGCGGTGATTGGTGGTAGTTTTGGTTGATGATGGTGGTTCATACTAGTAGCTAGTAGTGATTGGTAGTGGTGTCGATTATGATTGAGGATGATGGTGTGGTCGGTGATAGTTAATAATGGCGGGTGGTGGTAGTAGTTGTGACTGAGGAAGGTGGTGGGTGGGTAGTGGTAAGTTATAATGATGGGCAGTGTCGGTTGTGGTTGTTGATGGGGTGGTCAGTTATGGTAGTTGAGGTGGATGAGTGTTAATTGTTGGTGAGAATGATGGTGGTCGGAGTGGTGGGGATAGTGGGTGGTGATGGTCGATAATGGTGGCAGCTATGATTGAGGATGATGGTGGCGTGGTGGTGGTAGAGGTGGTGATGGTGGTGGTAGGGGTGGTGGTGGTGGCGGCATGGTGGTAGTTGAGAATGATAGGCAGTAGCGGCAGTTAATAATGAATATGCGATAGCATCTTAATGAAATTAAGTGTATGTTATAGATTTTAATCATTATAAAAACCTATTCAGACCCATTAAGTGGTTCTGAAGTAAAAAAAAACATGCGCATACACACTTAATGATTAAGATCTGAATAATTAAGATTCAAACTTTAAAAACAAATGCACTTAATGTCTGAAATCTGAATGATTAAGATTCAGACCTCTATTAAGTGCAAACAAATAAGGTCTGAGTGGCTTTGGCGTTTCAGCCTATGGCAACTCTTAAAGAAATACTTACTTCTAAAATAAATAAATATTTTGACTAAATTACCCTTAACTAAAATTTGCACTTGACACCTTGGAATATGTCAATAAAGGCAAATTTAGAAATATAAAGCTAAAACAATAAACTAGTGTATCCCACAAATAGGGGTCTTGGGAGGGTGCAATTGACACCTTGGAATATGTTAATAAAGGCAAATTTAGAAATATAAAGCTAAAACAATAAACTAGTGTATCCCACAAATAGGGAATCTTAGGAGGGTATTATGTACGTAGCCTTACTCCTACATTATGCAAGTAGAGAGGTTGTTTTCGGTAGACCCTTAGCTCCAAGCAAGCACGCAAATCACAACAGTATATAGTAGTGTAAAAGTCAGGAAAGCATTAACTACAGCTAGGAAGTAGAGCAACTAAAACACATGCGATACCAGGGAGTAATTGAATTTTAAGCATATGGAAAATACTAAAATACGCAACCACTAGTGAAAGGAAAGGGGGTACCGTGCACTGCCTAGTAGCCTTCTACCTTGATCCTCGCCATCCACGTCTACCTATCACGGGTCATGTCCTCGATGAGCTGAAGATGCGCCATGTCCTTCCTACCTTACCCCAATACTTCTTCGACCTACCGCTGCCTTTCCTCTGACCCGCCATCGTTAATCTCTCACACCTCCTCACTGGAGCGTACAGAGACCTCCTCATCACATGCCCAAATCATCTCAACCTCATTTCAGCATCTTGTCATCGATGAATTTTACACCTATCTTTTCCCGAATATCTCCATTCTTAATCATGTCTCTCCTTGTATCCCCACACATCCATCTCAGTATCCTCATCTCCACAACCTTCATTTTTTGGACATGAGAGTTCTTGAATAGCCAACACTCTGCCCCATACAACATAGTTGGTCTAACCACCACATTGTAGAACTTACTTTTAAGTCTTGGTGGCGTGTTCTTATCATACTGTAATGATCCGATTGGTCGTTTTGAGTAATTGCATCTGGTTAGGTAGTTTGAGGTCACGAGTAGCTTCACATAGTGTATTATGACCTGCGTGCATCATCGGTTCGGGTTTTTGAGAAGTTCAGGATTTGTAAAAGTGACTTTCATTTGAGAAGCTTGAAGATGAAAAAATTAATCAAGATTTGACTTTTGAGTATTTGACCTCAAATTGGAGTTTCGATGATTCTGATAGGCTCGGTTTATGATTTTGGACTTAGGCGTACGTCCGGATTTGGATCTGGAGGTCTGTGGGTTGAATTGAAGCAATTCGGCGAAAGTTGAAAAGGTTGAAGTTTGGAAGATAGAGGAGTTTGACCAATAGTTGACTTTTGCGATGTCGAGTTCGGAATGCGATTACGAGAGTTGGAAAATCTCATTATGTCATTTGGGACTTGCCTAGAAAATTTGACGTTATTCTGGGTTGGTTAGATAGGTTTCGGTACGAGTTTTAGAAGTTGGATGATTGGAAAGTTCATAAGTTCGATTCTTGGTGCGATTCGTCGTTTTGGCGTTGTTTGATGTGATTTGAGACCTTGAGCGAGTTCGTGTTAGGTTATAGAACTTGTTGGTAGGTTTAGACGGGTTCCTGGGGGTCCCGGGGGCCTCGGGTGTATTTCGGATGGGCTATGGGCCATTTCCTTCTATTTTTGAATTGTTGTTTTCTACTACCTGGTTTCCTTCATCGCGTTAGCGTCCTCGCCTTCGCGTTCGCATAGTGTTAATTTAGAGGGTGGAATATTTCTTCTTTGCGTTTGCATTCATCCTTTCGCGTTCGCGAAGTTCTTCCATTTCCTTTCTTCGTGTTCGCGTCTGTCTCATCGCATTCACGTAGTAGAAAATTGGAGCTGGGCACTAGTGACTACGTCCTCTTCGCATTCGCAACTTTCTTCCTACGTTAGCGAAGGTATTCCATCCCATCCTTCGCGTTCGCATATTATTTCCCGCGTTTGCGTAGCCCAGTCATTGGACCATCAAATTTCCCCCTCCGCGTTCGTGAGTCGTCTATTAGGTTCGCGAAGAACATCATGTCAGCCTTCATTTTTCCTTCTTCGAGAGTGTTGATACCCAATTTTTCCCTATATATTATTATATGCAAAATACTTTCAAAATAGCATATATATGCATATATAAGTATGCCCAAATGTTTTAGTATTTTTCCTAATTTTTAAAAGACTTTTAAATCAATTTATTGCCTATTTTAACAATACAAAAACCAATAATTGTTCCTCAAATTATCATTTTGGTGAATAACTTATTTTATTCACACATTTAAACCAAAATATTGCTAAGGTAAGTTTTACGCATTTTTACAAATTTATTTAGTATTTTTAAAAGCTAAATTGCATATAATTGTAATTTTAGCCTATTTTAAGATTTAATAGCATTTTATAATTATGAAATTGATTCCAGTATTTTTAATTTAATATTTATATATTATTAATTAATTTAGTACCTTTAATTTATTTTCAGAAATCATTTTACTATTTTTTATAAAATATAAAGGGAAAAAGTGGCTATTTAAAACTTAGCCCTAACTATTTCAATTTAAGCCTAAAATCAGCCCCAATTAAACCCCAATTCCAATTCAAACGGACCAGCCAAATTCCTAAAATTACCCGCCCCTAACCCGTTTAATTTACCCGTCCGGCTTTCCCTTTTGATCCAGGCCGTTGACATTTTTGATCAACGGCCAGAATTCCCTCTTTCCTTTTTAATTCAACAACCCCCACCAACCCTATCCCATTTCTCACCAACCGCCGCCTCTAAAACCCCTCCCCTCTCCCAAATTCTCTCGAACATTCCCTAACCCTAGCCGCCTCTCACCGTCTTCAACCTGGATACCCACCGGAATCCATGGTTTCTCAGGCCATGGGAGCCCTATACTCACCTCTCCTTGCTCTTATACGCTTGATAATTGAAGATTCGAGGCCTGACCTCGAAGTTTTTCGCCCAAACCTTTGCTAATTCAAGGTTTCACGGCCATCTCCGGCCTTGCTCCGGCATACCATGGTGTTTTGAGCCTGGTTCTGACTTCTTCGACTTAGATCGGACCTTTTCCAAGCCTTTCTGATTTCCAGGGCTCTTCTGAAACCCTAACTCTTCGAGGTTTTCTCCGATCTTTTTAGATTTGTTATGTATCTATGCTCTACTTGAGTTTTCAAAACGATTTCCCTAACTTTTCTTTCAAAATTACTTTTCAAAGTTCTTCTTTTACGATCTAGGGTTTTTTGAAAATGCTTAAATGCCTATCTGATCTTCGTCTCCTTTCCTTTTGTGTGTATTTGATGCTACTGTGTCTTTATGCTTTCCTTCTACCACATATGTTCTTCTGTGCTTTCTATATTCCGTTTTCCTACTGTATTTCTATACCATGTTCTTATATGTTTATCTCACTGTGTTTTCCTATATGTTCTTTTACTATACTTTTCCGGTGTTCTTGTGTTCTTCTACTATATTTTTCTACTAAAGTTTCTTTGTTTGCCTTCTACTGAACCTTGGTTAGTTTGTTTTTTTCTAAAAACATGTTTCTTATACTATTTCCCATTATGTTCTTTGAATCCCTCTACTGTGTTTGCATTATGAGTTCTGAAAGAGGCATGTTAGAAGCTTCAGCTCTCTTCTGAAACCTCTACACATGTCTCGACTCAATTTGCTTGCCCTCTCCTCTTTGCTTTCTGGTTTGCTCGAACTAGGGCTTCATTTCAAAGACCCCTCTAATTCTTTCAGACTAGCTCTGAGTCTCTGAACTAAGTTTGAACTTCTTTGTTTGCATACAATTCTGAACTTTTTTTTAATTCTTCTATACTAGGTTCTTCTACTGATTGGCATGGCAATTTTCTTTCATACTTAACGTGTCTATATGCTTTTTATATGTGATGAGTCTTTCTTCAAAAAGATCTTCCAACTTGTGATTGGTTCA